ATATATATATATATATATATTTCCTATTTCCCTGTGTTGAGATTCAGCTTCAGGGGCTTAAGAGTTATCTGAGCCCTCCATACCCTGGGGAAGCCACAGAACTGTTAATCTAGAATCCTGCAGTAGAGGAAACAACATCACTCACCAAAGTAAATCTTATCAAGTCATTGTCACTCTCATACAAACCACCATGAATGTAATTCTTGTCTGCTTAAAGAAAGCAAAGATGGAAGCTCAGTGATTGGTGCTTCCTGAGAATGTCCTGTCTCCATCTCTAGACCCTTTATCTAGCCATGCTAACTTCACATTGGGCCACTGAGACTCTACACTGCACAAGGACCCAGTGGCCCTGCCCATATGAGGCACCATAACAAGGATGGGACAGAGTTCTGCACACCTGGCACAGGTGGACAAAATTGGTCCAGAAACTGATAACAAAAGATTGCAGTGGGGAGGGCTGGGAACAGATACATAGATTGCTTCCCAGAACCCTGTAGGATAGGGTGACCAACTTGTCCCAATTTGATTAGGACTAACTTGGCTTTAGCCCTGAAAGTGCCACATCCCAGGAAACGTTAAAAAAAAAAGCCCACTACCATTGAGTCATATCCAACTCAAAGCACCCCTGTAAGGCTTCCAAATCTTTACTGAAGCAGACTACTTCATCTTTCTCCCATGGACAGCTGGTGGGCCAAAATCACCAACCTTTTGCTTAGCAACACATTCTTTAGCCACTGCACCACTAGAGCTCTTGTTGTCATTGTTGTTAGGTATCTTCGTGTCAGCTCCGACTCACAGAGACCCTATATACAACAGAACAAAAACACTTTCTAGTCCTGTGACAGCCTCACAATCCTAAGCACATCATTGCAGCCACTATGTCAATTCATCTCGTTGCAGGTCTTCCCATTTTTTTCTCACCCTCCACTTTATTAAGCATGGTCCCTTCTGACAACATGAGCATAGTAGTTGAGATGAAGTCTGGCCATTCTCACTTGCAAGGAGCATTCCAGCTGCACTTTTTCCAAGACAGATCTGTTCATTCTTCCGGCAGTCCATGGTACTTTCATTATTCTTTGCCAACACCAACTCAAACACATCAATTCTTTTTCAGTCTTCCTTATTCGTTGTCTAGCATTTGCATGCATATGAGATGATTGAAAATACCATGGTTTGGGTTAGGCACACTTTAGTCTTCAAAGATACATCTTTGCTCTTAAGCACTTTAAAGAGGTCTTTTGCATCAGATTTGCCCTGTGCAATGTGTTGTCTGATTTCTTGACTGCTACTTCCATTGGTACTGATAGTTGCAGTGTAGTAAATTACCTGGTATGGCTTTTCTAGCCATAAGTCTTTGTAAACTCCATGGTGGAATTTTCTGTGAGAAACTGAGTATCTCCTGATTGTTAAAATCATCCACCTGAGGTATTTCTGTTGGGAGCAGCACAAAGTAATTTTCTGGGAAGTTCACTTTCTCTTAGGTGTATAGAATTCTGATGTTAGGATTGGTTGGTTTGGCCTCAAAAAGGAGTCCTCCTAGAAGCAGAAGGAGTCTCTCTGACTGCTGGCTGAGAAAGATATGCTGCTGAGAGAAACATGCTCCTGAGAGACACGTGCTGCTGAGAAAGAGACACCGAGAGACACACATTGCTGGGAGAGAGACATCGAGACACACACACTGCAGGTAGAGAGACTGAGAAAGACTATTGGCTGAGAGACAGCGGGCTGAAAGAGACTGAGTCTTGTTCCTGAACGTGATTCATAGCCTGGTGTTTCCCTAATAAACCCCATAATCTGTGAGTTCTGTGTGGCCACTGCAGTGAATTATTGAACCCAGCAGAGAACAGTGGTGGTGGGTGCTGCGGGAGGAGTGGTGGGTATCAGGGTTGGGGAAAGGGCTGGAGGGAGGCAGTATGTCTGGCCTCACAGGAATAGGCCTTGGGCTGCTGATGGTGATTCTGTCTTCCTCTTGTGCAGTTAGAGGAGGTCAGAAGATGAAGCCTCCCTGCCCCTTTAACAATAGTGAAACCAAGTAATGCAAAATCTTTGACAACTTCAATCTTTTCTCCACTTATCATGATGCTGCTTATTGGTCAGTTGTGAGGATTTTTGTTTTCTTTATGTTAAGGTGTAAACCATACTGCAGACTGCAGTCTTTAATCTTCATCAATAAGTGCTTCAAGTCATCTTCACATTCAGCAAGCAATGTTGTGTTGTGCATATTGCAGGTTCTCAATGTGTCTTTCTCCAATCCTCATGCTGCATTCTTCTTCATATGGTCCAGCCTCTTGAATTATTTCCTCAGCATACAAATTGAACAAGTATGGTGAAAGGATATAACCCTGACACACTCCCTTCCTGTTTTTAAACCAAGCAGTATCCCCTTGCTCTGTTTGAATGACAGCACAATTACATCTTCTGGAATTCCCATTCTTCTCAACATTATCTATAATTGTTATGATCCACACAGTTGGATGCTTTTGGATAGTCAATAAAACACAAGTAAGCATCTTTCTTGTATTCCTTGCTTTCAGCCAAGATCCATCTGACATGAGTGGTGATGTCCCTTGTTCCACGTTCTCTTCTGAATCCACTTTGCATTTCTGGAAGTTCCCTGTCAATATACTGTTGTAATAATTTTTGAATTATCTTCAGCACAATTTTACTTGCATGTGATAGTAATGGTTAAAAAAAAAAAAAAAAAAACACTCACTGCCATCAAGTAAATTCCAACTCATAGTGATCCCCATTGGGTTTCCAAGGCAGTAATACTATCTTTTTGGAACTACATTGAGCCATCTTCCTTCTGTGGAGTGACTGGTGGGTTTGAACACCAACCTTCTGGTTAGCAGTCAAATGCCTTAGGTATTGTGCCATTGCTTGACAATTTCCACATTCTGTTGGATCACCTTTCTTTGCAATGGGCACAAATATGGATCACTTCCAGTCAGTTGGTCAGGGAGCTGTCTTCCAGATTTCTTGGCATAGATGAGTAAGTGCCTCCAGAGCAGCCTCCAGAGCGGCATCCATTTGTTGAAACATCTCAATGGGTATTCCGTCAATTCCTGGAGCCTTGCTTTACAACAATTCCCTCAGTGCAGCTTTGACTTCTTCCTTCAATACCATTGGTCCTTCATCATTTGCCACTTCCTGAAATGTATGAGTATCAACCAAGTCTTTTTGGTATAGTGACTTCCATCTTCTTTTGATTCTTCCTGCATTGTTCAATATTTTGCCCACAGAATCTTTCAGTCTTGCAACTCAAGGCTTGAATCTTTTCTTCAGTTCTTTCAGCTTGAGAAATTCTAAGTCCATTCTTCCCTTTTGTTTTTCTAACTCCAGGTCTTTGGGCATTTCATTATAATAATTGACTTTATCTTCTCAAGCTGTTCTTTGATATTTTCTGTTCAGCTCTTTAACTTGTCATTTCTTCCATTTGCTTTAGCTACTCTCCATTCAAGAGCAAGTTTTAGAGACTCTTCTGACATCTAATTTGGTCTTCTCTTCCTTTCCTGTCTTTTTAACAACTTTTACTTTCTTCAGTTATGATGTTTTTGATTTGTCTGGTTTTCAGTCATTGGTGTTCAATGCATCAAATCTATTCTTCAGATGAATTTAGGTGGGATATGATAAAGGTCATATTTTGGCTCTCATAGACTTGTTTTAATTTCCTTCAGCTACAATTTAAACTTACATATGAGCAGTTGATGTTCTATTCCACAGTCAACTCCTGGCCTTGGTTTGGCTGAAGATATTGCATTTCTCCATCATCTCTTTCTTCAGATGTAATTGATCTAAATCCTGTTCATTCCATCTGGTGAAGTCCACATGTATAGCCACCACCATTTATGTTGTTGGAAAACAGTATTGGCAATGAATAAGTCATTGGTCTTGCAAAATTCTATCATGTGATCTCTGATGTTATTTCTATCACCAAGGCCATATTTTCCAACTACTGGTGATTCTTCTTTGTGTCCACCTTTTGCATTCCAATCACTAATAATAATCAATATATGCTGATTGCCTGTTTCCTAAACCTCCTAGGACAAACCTAATCCTTCTAGGACAAACAGGATGGTGGGTCACCCTACAAGTTTGCCCATGCAGAGGCACTGAACACAGTGAGAAATATAGCTAGCCAGTCCCAAATATTTCAGCCATTCAAGCTGAGACTGCAGGCATGTGAGTAAAGAAGCCATCTGGAATATCACTGGCCCAGCAGATACCATAAAGGATGTAATAGTTGCCCTGTAGAACCCAGCTCAGATTGCAGAGCAGTGAGTAATATTGACCTTTTTGTTGTTTTAAGCCATTCAGCGTGTGTCTGGGCAGAGAGAAAGGGAGAGCTAGAGTGGTATTAGCAACAGAAAAATGGAAACAGTGTTCCATATTTAGAACCTGGCCACTGACAATCTTGAATAGGAGCAGAATATGGTCTTAGATAGTACATGGATGGTACAGAGGTTTAATATAATCAACTGCTGACCAAAAGATTGGCAGTTCAAGTCTCCCCTGAGACAACTGAGGAGAAAGGACTGGTGATCTACTTCCAAAAATTCAATCATTGAAAACTCTATGGGGCATGACCATATACAGGTTTGGCAGATGATATTTCTACATACATATTTTTATGTGCTGAAAATATATTCATGCATATAGTAGAGCAAACAGAGAAGAAAGATATGAAATTGTAATCATAATCAAACACCTTGAGGAAATGAGTGACTGGGCCTGGGGAGTCAGGATTATAGTCTCAGGGAACATAAATGTGAATTGGTATAACATAGTCCACAAAGACAATATTCTACATCCTAATTTGGTGAGTAGCATCTTGGCTCTTAAAAGCTTGCTAGCAGATATCTAAAGTGCAACTGTTGGTCTCTCCCCATATGGAGAAAAGAGTGAAGAAAATCAAAGATGCATTGTACCGTTGTAGACCATTCTGAAAGAGATCACAATAGAATGTCCTGAGTAGAATGGGTGAAAAATGTGGACTAAAACTCAAAATCTTAAAAATGACCAGACTTGATAGAGACTGGTGGAAGCTCCAAAACTACAGCCCTTAGACACTCTTCAAGCCTAGGACTGAACTCATCCCCATGGCCCAACTTTCAGCCAAACACTTTCCACTAAATAATAGACAGGACTATAAAGTGTTGAACAATGATTCCAGGAGTATGCACTTCTTAGAATAATCAATCATAAGAGATCAAAAAGGCAGCATTTGCCCAGAGACAACTCTCAGAAGGCAGGAAGGGATAAGAAAAAAAGACAGTTGGAAATGGTAATGGTAAACACAGGGGGAAAGTGGGGAGAATGCTGTTACAATGTGGGGAATGCAATCAGTGTCACAAAACAAAATATGGATGAATTGTTGAATGGGAAACCAATTTTCTCTGTAAACTTTCACTCAAACCACAATGAAAATTTAAAAAACAAACAAACAAACAAACAAAACCCTGTAGAGCACAGTTCTTCTCTGACACACATAGTGTCTCCATGAGTTAGAGGTAACTCCATGGTAACTGGTTATTTTTATAGTTTGAAAGGAAATTAGAAGACAGAATCAAGAAGGATCATATTGGTTTTCTCTGTCTGGCAAATAAGCCTAAATGGGGCCATCACACTCCCTGATACCAAACCCTTACCTTTTGCATTTTGGGATCCTGTTGAAATAAGCAATTTTCATTTTCTCCTGAAATTTTCTTGCACATTGTTCGGGCCATTTTGACTTCAAGATAGTATTCCAGACTATCTGTGACCTGTCAGTGAATAATTTAAAATTTAGATATCATAAAAGAATGCATAGTATCAGTTGTCACATTTGAAAATAGATATGTCATTGATTGTGTAGGGCAAAGCCCATCTTGTCTCCTTTCCTCCCATCAGTCTTCTTGCCTATGGTTTTTGTTGTAAGCAGTTTTGGACTAACAGG